TAATCTATTAATTCAGCACGCGTGCTACTATTAAAGTTGCAGAAAGAAATGGGATAATGTTTTCATTATATTTGGTAAAGTATTTTTCGCAATAATTCTTTCAGACAAACCTTTACTCTGGGGATTTTCTTCAGAGACTTTCGCCCATCTTTGTCACCTACAATATTGGCGCCAATAAGTGGTTCATAAGGCAACTCCAACAGCTGCATATCCACACCTGTAAATTTACGGAACATAGCTTCGTTTTCATAAGTCAATCACTAAGAGACTTACCGTTATCCGCATCGCTTTGTTTATAAACTTCTGCTAACTGTGTTGAATTGAGGTATGTGGCGTCTTCGGCATCGGGTGTCAGTACGACTAAAAACCTTAGTAAGTCTTTAGTCTGTCAAAAAAACCTCTTTTAGTAAAGACTAACCCCAACGGAAGTACAGAATAACTTCAAGAGTTGAATTGCGTGCAAAGAACGTAATCGGTACATTTCTTCCTCTTGACAATATACGCCGGAAAGAGTGGGAAGGGCAGCAGAACCTACAGTAATCGAGATGGGGAGGCTGAGCTTGGTTGACCTAACTTGCTTCTTTCAGCTCCCTCTCACCTGTATCCAACGGGGCGAAAATCACCAATCATCTTCATCTCTACAGCTGTAGTGAAGCAGCCTTCCTGACAAATTCCTCGTACATATTGTAAGCCGATCATAACGCGACGATTAGGAGGGGACTAAAACAGAGAAAAGCCCTTTATTCAGATAAAATAAGATGAATTCCAGTATATGATGCTTCCGGGCAATTCATTTTCACAAGGGGTTCATCAGTAATCAAGTAGTTGATTGTCTGAAGCAAATAGCTATAACCAGCTTACAAACGTGCTCTATGGCTGAGAAACTCTCATACAAGACAACTGCCACAATGAACAAATTCTGTAGTGAAACTTATGAAACTGACCCTAATATGATATACACATTTCTTTCTTCCTGGACCACTAGCAGCAATGCTGATTTTCATTCGTGTAAGTTTTGAAGTTGTTGGAATGAGTCCGCCACATTTCATGACTCCTGATGATTCGATCAGTTGGCAGAAGTCTCCCTCAAAGCCAGTGGGGCATCTAAGATACCAAACTGATCTCGAAAACTAGATAGACAAAGAAAAGAGCTTACTTGCAAATGGTGCAATTGAGCGGATCAACGTAGCCTCCATTTAAGCACTTTGGCTTCGTTTCTGTGGAATTGCACAGGCCTAAAAAATGCATCGACCGTGGAATGCAGCAATATTGGACTGTCAAATTAAGTTCATGCCGTTTCCTTCAAATTTAGAAGAATTTTCGAAAAACCACAAATTTTAGCAATACATAAATAAATTGATAGAATATTTCTTTCACTATAAAAATATATGTGATCATTCGCTGATTTTGACGCTGCCAAATTACAAGAGATTAAAATTGGAATCAGAGAGTCAGTAAAAGTTCAATGGACA